GACTGGAGAACCCCAGCAGCATCATCAATACACAGCGGGCGCCTGGATGCAGGCAAAGAGCTCACACATATCTTGTCTTTAATGTGCCAAATCTTGGCTTGGCTTGGGAATGAACAAACATGATCATTCTTGAACTTCAAAAATGAGCACTTCATTTCTTCCCTCAGTTTTTACTAACTTCATTTTAGAAAAAATAAAAGGGAAAAGAGGAAAATATATGTATTTCTATTTTGAGTAATGATTGATGAAATGCATAAAGGACACAAGTGAAAACAGATCAGAAATAGAGACAAGTGAAGAGGGCAGGAGAGAGAACTGATCCCCAAAAAGCTCTGAAATGGCCTGTCATCTTCAAAGTGAAGTGTCAGGCCTCACAGTCCCCAAATCCCTGGTATTCATCAACAGCCTCAGACTGCCACCTCAGGCAGTCCCACCTTATCATCAGTGCCCCAGGCCCTGTTGAATTGTGATCTTCTCACTCCTGATTGAATCCTTCTGCAAATTTATCAAAAGCTGCATGGGGACAGTCAGGAATGCCGACTGTGTCTACTCCCTGATTGCCCTACTCTCTCCCTTCATTGTACAGACAAAGTCAAATCACAAAGAATGAGTTAAAGATTGCAGCTAGGACCTTGGTATAATGATTAGATGTGATAGTCACTTCCCCATATTAGCAATGATAGACAGCATCATTCAATAAATAGTGGAGGTTCCCTCTTAATATCAGCCACCCATAATCAAACATGGATGTGCCTGGACACTTCACCAAGAAATATAGGAACCTAGGAGATATTCTAGTGGCACATTCTAACCACCCCCATCTCCCCCTAAAAAGATAATGAACTTGAGGGAGAAGAAAAGAATATTTTTGCAAATGGGAAAGAATGCTAAATGGGTACAAAGGCAAGAAGAAATATGTTTAGAAAATGATGAATATTTGGTATAGGGAGAACTCTAGTTGATTTTGCGAAAGACACAAAATTAGATAGTCAATAAAAACAAGTTACTTAACCAGTTAGTTTTCTAGAATTCAAGAATGGGGACTGAGAAAAAAGGAATTTGATTTGGCTACATGCACACCATACACACACACATACACACAATTTCATCACAAATGCATGTACACACCCATACAAGAGAAAATTTAGCCAGAAATGTTTCTTCTATGATATCACTGAGGGCTTTTTTTCTCTACCTTTAAAGCTTTCTCATCGTAATTATTAAATTATAAAATGTTCAATTCTTATAAAATATATGATAGCAAAATGAAAATTCTGTAACTTAAAATCCTGCCTACCATTCAAAGGTAATCAATGTTGAAATCTGAGATAAAAGACTTCCAGTTTTTTGTCTGCACTGATATAAATATGAAGAAAGGCACGTGTGTGTGATTTTAATCAATGGAAGTGTAACTGATGTGATACAGCAATCTGTATAGGGGGTAAAAATGGGAGTTCATAACCCACTTGAATCAAACTGTGAAATATGATATATTAAGAACTATGTAATGTTTTGAACGACCAACAATAAAAAAATCAAATCGTTTCTATTTTAAACCTCATAATATATTTTCTGTCCTGTTTATTATCATTTCTCATTCCCTTTTGCTCACCATCTCTGCTTCCTTCGTGTACTTTCATTTGAGAGTTTGATACCTAAAACATCAGTTCATTTATCTATAGGGTTTTTCTCTTCTATAACATCAACTATAGATATTAGTACTGTCACTACACTTTTAGGTTAATAGATTTTTTTTCTTATTTTCTCACTCAGTTTCCTGTTCATCAGTTCACCTTTTCATTTCTTTGTTCATTATTGCTCATAGTGTCAACAACAAATACATTTTCTGTAGTTTTTGTTTTTCTGAACACATCTTTTATAAAAGCAGTTTTCCTTAACATAATTCTCTTATGTTTCAATTTTTAAATACCCTTTTTGGATAACTGGAAATAGTCATCATGGTAAAATGTTTCTCAGGAGAAAAACTGAAAATATGCCCTTTATTTTTTTTGTGTGTGTGTGATTCATATTAGTATCTTTCCTTTCATCCAGCCATTTTGATGTCTACCTAGTATTAATTTAGAGAAAATCTGGAATTCAAAAACTGTGGCTCAGTTTTTTTTTAATCAGAAAAAATTAGCTTGGTGTCCTCGCCTCTCATTTCTTGAGGCTGATTTTAGAATTTTACATTTATCCTTATTAAGATTCATATTATTTCACTTAGTGTATTGTTTCAATTTTGATTTTGTTGTCCAATTCATTCCTCTTAGTACTCTGTCATGCTATAATCTTCTAGAAGTGGTTTTATCAAAAAGTTGGAACCCTGTATTACATCTTCTTAGAAAGTGCTCATTCAATATTTAATGCCTGTGATGTGAAACTATCTACTTTTTGAGGACAGCACTCTATCTTATTTAAAAATCTACTCCCAATACCTGACATAGTTAGCATTTAATGAGACTCCCTACGTGGTTGAGTTTATTAGCTTTACCTCACTGTGACCAAAATACCTAACATAACCAAAAATTATTTCCTACTATTCATCAGCTTCACATCTGGGTTTATGTTCAAGTGAAATGAATACATAGTACAACAAAGGACCTGTACAAATGTTTTTTAGCAGTGTTATTCATAATAGTCCCAAACCAAAAACAGTGCTTACATACAGCATAGTATATTCAGACAAGTAGAATAATACATATCAATGAAAAATAATGACCACTGTAAGCATGAAGCAGCTAAAATTAATTTCACAGACCAGACGCAGGTCTTGCAAAAATAAGACACAAAATAGCATTTGTTCTGTGTATATGAAAAACAACAACAACAACAATAAAAAAAAACTGTTGCTTGTTGGGGGGCATCAATAGAAGGAAGCCACAGGTGCTAGAAATGCTCTTCCTCTGGGTGATACTTACTCATAAAGATACATGTGTATTTATGTAAGGAGTCATTTAAGCTGTACACTTAACAATTTTTGTATTTTACTATATGCAAGGTAGACCCTACTTTACAAACTCAAATGCAAAAAGATATTTTCCAGTCTAAACAAAAATAAATAAAAGAGATATTTGTGGTATTTGTGGTTAGATATACCTAGTAACAGATTTTGAAAGCAGAATGTGGATCACAATATTTACCTTACCAGGACAATGTGATGATTAAGGATAATAGATGTGAAGCATCTAGACAAAGTCTGGTATTTTTTATGAGATCATTAACTAGCAGATACACTTATATCCCATAGACCAGTGCTTCTCAAGCTTTAGCATGCACACAAATCTACGGAGATCTCATAAAAATGTCGGCTTTGATTCTGTAGGTCTGGAGTGAGGCCTGAAATTCTGCATTTTTTAAAAACCTTCCACATCATTCCATTTCCACTTTCCCACTGACCATAATTTGAGTAGCAATGGAAGGAATGGGGAATTTTCGGCAGGGGAAAGATCTTGATCAAATTTATGTTTTAAAAAACCATTCTACTATTGATGCACAAAATCGATTATAAGAGAATAAGATGAAAGATCCAAGAGACACATGCTGTACCCCTAGTGAGGAAAAGGAGAAGAGGAACGTAATATGGGAAAAGAAACATTCTGCAGAATCATCAGTACTTGGGATTTCATTGAACTTTAGCTAGGAGTAATGAAAGAAAGTTATTAAAGACAGCTTGAGGTTTTATCTTCAATGATCAGATATGTAAATATGCTTTAGTTTTAATAATTTTATCAGATCCTTTTGATAACAATTGAGCTCAGGAGGAATGGATGTCATAAAAAAAGACTTTTTTTCCCATCAGCGTCACATTAAGAGAGAATGAATCAAGGGAAAGTAATATAGAGGGTAGTTTAATGACAGTTGTATCAAATGGGAAGATAAAGGATGAGGGGTTGTGTATATCAGCATTATTACAGTATCAAGTGAGCCCCAAAGTTTCATTAGACAACAAGGATGTGTTGCATTTATGCCTGGCCCTGTTTGTCTTTGCTCTAAATGACTTTATTCCAGGATCTAGACTGATAGAGCATGCTTTGTTAGGAGCAAAGGAGCTGGAGGAAGCATGCAATGGAGCTTAAGCTTCTGCTTGGATGTAGTGTACATTACATGTCTTCCAGTGGCATTTTGTAGACCAAGTCACATGAACAGGCCTGATGTCTATGGGGGTGGCAGCATATACTTTACCCAAAGAGGCCTATACAGGTCACATGGTAACAGTTAGGAAAATATAATTCTCTTACAGGAAGAAGGAGGGACAAGTTGAAACAATAATGCTGCCTATCCCAGGGATGTACCCGAGCAAACAACCCAAGCTTCTCTGTGTCCTTTTTGATCCTATAACTCATCTTAGCTCTGGATTTTTTTTTTAAATTCAATAGTTAAATACCCTCAATACAAAATATTTCATTAGCATGAGGCAAAATAGACACATTTCTATTTCCTCTGTTAATGAGAATTTAAATGTTTAAAACGCTCAAGGGGAGGGAAAGGAGAGTAGCCCGGGGGAGAGGAAGAAAAGTGAATACTGGATAATCAGCCTTGAAGTAATCAAGAGTTGACTGAATTCTCTCCTGATCTTTCCTATATCTAATAGACGACTTCAGAGAAAAGTTGAGCTGTTACATGATCTATTCCTGTGTGCTCCCATTACTCAAGTTTTTAATGCTCTGTTGATAAAAAATAAAATAAAATAAAATGCAATTGCAAGTAACATTTTGATTTTTTGGAATCCTTAATATCGAAAATATTTATTTCTTAAAAGGTAGTTAAATGTATGAGCTAAATAATAATTACAACAACCAAAGAGGAGACTCATGGGCCCAAATTATCTCACAAAACTTGATATAAACTTGATCATTTGAAAAATGATATTGTTGCCCTCTGTTTCAGTTCAAAACTGTTCTGTATCTCTCCATGCATTATTGAAGCATTTTCAAACCAGGGATAAAGCTATGGTCATGCATATCACATTTCTTTTATTTTTCAATCACTATTCTTAACAGGAGAAGAGAACGATTCAACAAAGAATGAAACGAAAATTGAGACAGAGTCCCAGAGCTCATATATGGAAACCGAAGGTACTGAAAACAGAATATATTGTTATCAGAGAATGAGATGAAGCTGTGAACCATGACATCTATATATAAAGTGTGTGTGAGTGGCGTGCATGTGTGTGTGAGGCAAGAGTCCTGGAGGGTGACAAACAACAGTTTACTGCTTTTTGAGCCTCCTGAAACTTGAAGGAATGAAGAACAACTTTTAACTTTCTATGCTGTACTCCCTGTGTTTTGTCAATGATGCCAACTGCAACATCCCTGAGTCTCTATTGGCCTCTTTCTATTTAGAGCTTTCATCAAACCCAGAAGATACCACGATTGTGGAGCAGCCAGAAGTGATTCCACTGACAGATGACCAAGAAGAAAAGGAAGGTGGAAAAGGTAGGACCGCTCTTAAATAAACCCATCAAGAGTAGAGAGCTTCCTTGTATTCCTACCCAGAGCTCAACTATCAAAGTTATCCTCATGCAATCGCAGTGTGTAAAGGGGGAAAAGGAACATTCCTTTAACCTTGAACCTGCCTTTGAAACTAGAGTAAAATTTAGATACTTGTAACATCTTTTTTGGTTTTCCTGCTTTTCAAACAGAATGAAGATGCTTTTGTTATTCACTGAGGTTCAAGTTAAGTTTTTAAAATTCTAGTGTTGAGAAGATCTGTAAGAAATCAAAATTATGCACTACTGGGAAAATTCCTAAAAAATCTGATGGCTTTAAAAACATAAATTAACCTTTTGTATTGATTTTATTCTGTCTTCCTTTGCATGGTAGTGATTAAAGAAGTAATTTATGTAAAATACACTCATCATCACATGAACCTTTCAATTTGCAAGCTTCTCCTGATAATCTTGGGATACAATAATATTGAATACTGTTTTTAAAAATGAGTGAGGTTATAATGATTTCTGAGGATTAATGAGGAATGAACACTTTGAAAATATTAAAGTAATATTTAGGGCAATAAGCCAATATAATAGAGTGAAGATAGGAATCTTTTATAAAAATCCATTTAAAAACTATTATCAAAAAGTTTTGTATTTATTGAGGAACTTGAGGGATGCAATTTTTAAGAATAAAGCAATCTCTTTAAAAAAACTCATAAAATAATTTGTCTGCTGCACTATCTCATAAATCATACTGTTCTTAAATAGGTATTTGGAAAGCAATTGTAAGGTGATAACTTGATAGACCTTGTTTATAGAACAGTGTGATCAATTTTGCTTCCAAATTAAAACACAGACATGATCTCAATTGTAAAATCAGGTCAATAGCAACTACAGCTTCCAAATTATGAACAATTCTTGGCAGGGGCATTGATACAGTTTAATTGCTAAACTAACTTAGTAATTGTGACACTTTTCAAAAATTTTCCACTGTATTTGTATCACAATATTCTTCCACATCTATATCTGTATGGACGTTTTCTCTATTGCAAATCCTAGTGAAGCCTCATGCCACCATGTTCCTGGCAGGCCAAGTGAATGGTACATTTGAAGTATTTATGTCTGACAATGATGAAAGAAAATTAATGCAACCTTTACTCAGATTCAGATACATGATATAGTTCCCTTTGATTCTAATCCTAAAATGAAAAACATACATTGTGTGCCCATTTACTTAACTTTTCATTGCAGAAATTATTTGCTTTGTATATTGCGCCTGAAGAAATGCAAATGAATTAAAGAACATCAAACAATGGGTACATTTTCCTCCTTTTATCTTGACCTGTAAACGGAAAAAGCTCACATTTACATTTCCCTAGCAGGGAACATTTCTCCAATTACTGAAAAGTTAAATACCTGCTTTTCCTCTCCTCCTTATAGGTATGCCAGTCCTCTTCTGTATATGATGGAATGGCAGGTCAAAATCTGCTACGTGTTTGTAGTGACCTTAAACCTGAATTTCTTTATCAAAATGTGACTTTTTACTCTAAAAGAGCAATACCAGTTGGCTTATGTTAACCATGTTTTCCTTTTCTGTCTTTATCATACTTATCTTGGCCCAGCTTTGAATATTTCTGCAACTTCAATTATTTCAAATTGAAATAACCTTAAATGTATGACCTCTGTCATCTTATACTTTGCATCAAAGTAAGAATTGAGAGTTATTTTGTTGTATTTAAGAAAAGTACTTGCCTTCTTCCCTTTTCTGCTACTAATAATATACCCCAGACTGGTTAAGTTATAAAGAAAAGAGGTTTATCTTGTTGGGTGTTTCTAGAGGTACAACATCAGGGGCCCCCATCTGGTCATGGCCTTCTTGCTAGTAGAGCTTTGGGGTGGCACAGAACATCACATGGCAAGAGACAGAGAGTATGCAGGTGTATGTGTGTGTATTCTGAATAGAGCTATAGGATTCGATCATGAGGGCTCAACCCTAACAGTATGATCAATTTTGCTTCCAAATTAAAACACAGACATGATCTCAATTGTAAAATCAGGTCAATCACTTTCCAAGGTCCTCACATCTAAACTCCAGGGTCCGATTAAACTTCCACCCATTTAATGCCTCACAATGGAGATTAAATGTCTGTATAGGAAGCCACATGGGATATTCAAAGCATATCCAAACCATAGCAGTACCCAAAGGAAATGAGGACAGAGTAGATTCAGGGTGCCCTATAGTAGTTCTTCTACCAATGACAAGTGAGGTGACCTTAAGTGAGTTATTTCACTTAATTTCTTTCAAGTTCCTCATCTGTGAGATGGTGATGACAAAAGCAGCTGTCACATATTATTGTGGTGACATTTCAAATAGTAACATGTAAAACAGTTATAACAATACCTGGCACAGAGGAAGCATTCCATAGTATTTATTATTTAACATAGTTTGATAGAACGACGGCAAAGTCAAAAGAATCTACATGCAAATTTCCCAAGTTTATTCATTCATTGTTCTTAAGTATTTTGAATCCATAAAAACTTCACATAGTCTACATCATCCTTCAGCAACAAATGGTCCTTCACTTTTGATTGACAGTACCACCTTATGAAGGAAGTTTTGATATGGCTATAAACCTACATTATTACCTATTTTATTTAATACAGATAGAGCAAATAATAGAAGTTGGAGTTTGAGGCAATTTTTTCATTTATAAATTTCAATCTCTCTGTTTAAGAAATGATAATAAAACCATAATTTCTATTTGCAATGATGTCATTGAGCTATTAGTGAATTTGCAAAAGAAGCATAGTAAATAAATTCAAAGAAATCAAATTTATTTTGCTTTCTTTTGATTCATATAAAGTCTTTTTCAAAAACATTTTGAGGCTATAGCCCCAGGTTCTGTGTATATTTGCAAAGTAGTCTCCTAATGGAAAGTTGCACAAATGTATTAAGAATTATCTATGAACAAAAAATGAGTATTCTATTACATTTGTAGAAATATTTTTATAGCTCTAAAACTATTGGTTCTCCTTTAATATGAGAATCTTTCTAAGCAGAAAGAACATGGTTTCTTTAAAAAAAATTCCATACCAGGAAAAATGTGTAACTTCTTTCTCTGATTTTGCAGCATTTTATAAGATTAGAAAATGTAGATAATCTTCAGGACACATCTTCTATGGCTCCCAGGTGTAGGAGCACAGATGTTGCAACATTAAGTTTTGAAGTTAGCTCTACCAAAATATGGATTTTAAAAAGAAGGAAAAATATTCAGCAGAAGTTCACGCTGATAAAATTACACAATAGCATAATGGACATGTCCCTGGGAGACCTAAAATACAAAAATTTCAACTGGCATAAAGCGAAGTTTCACATATGGTAGCTTTTCTCATAGAGCCACATCGCCTCTTCCTAAATGAGTCCAGTTTTATGCTTCCCAGCAGGATCTGCAATACATATAAATCCAGTAGAATAACATCTTTTAGGTTAATAACCAAATAGGAAAGAATTACGGGAGATCTTCTCTAAAGGAGTCTCATATTGTAGTATAAGATCTATATATACAGTTAGCATTCAAATGTTTTTCATAAGATTTTTATTTCTAGTTGAATTTAGAAATTTTTGACATGGAATCTCAACCGTACCGACATTGCATTATTATTTTACAGCAAAATTTCCATTTATGTTTTCTTATGAATATACATTGAGTTTTTACTCCACCTGTTACATGTTATGCACATATTCATTCCCAATTATTTTTTGTATATCAGTAAGCATAATACAGAATGACAGTATTTTATCTGTTTACCTAAGGCTGACCAAAATGTTGACGGAGGTTTAAGATATATCATGATCTAAGGTTTTCTTGGCAATGGATGGATCTAGACAGGCATATGAACAAAAAGTTAAGGGCAAGCCAATGACAAGTCTATTATCGTGTCATTAGGCTTATGTTTTGGCAATTTACCAGCATGACCATTGGACAAAGAGCCATGGCTTTTATCCCTGGTTGTGTGATTGCTGGCAATTCTTTAACCTCTAAGAATCCATGTATTTAGGGTAGCTATTAGAGACATAATCCAGGCAGTTAATATTCTCCAATTCTGTTAAGTTTGCTCAAAATGGCAATTCAGAAGAATCACATTCTTCATGAAACAAGAATGATGACATGGAAGCCAAGGGTTATTAATACACTAAGAGCTGAAGTCTTGGTTTTTTTCCAGTTTTATTTATGTTATTCTATAATGTGCAGAGGTACCTTAGACCAGGCAAAAAGGTAACCAGATTAACCATATTTTATATAAGAACTCATTTACTCATCATTAGTTAGCCAATTATCCCATGAAGGTACTTAAAGATGGAAATGCCTTTGAGCTTAAATTAGGTTTACACACAAAACCTGGAACCAGACTAGATTTTCATCATCATCTTCTTTAGTTCACATGGGAAACATCTTTCTTCATAACTCCTCTGGCTCCTGTTTCATTTTTCCATGAATTCGTGGTACATGAGCCTCTTCCTCTTCTCTTACCAATCAAATCTGTTAGAGAATTTATCCTGTTTACAAAACACCACTGTACAGTGCTAGGTGCTTTCCATTATTGATGGGATTCCTGCATCGCTGACAAAGCTTTGAAAAGCAGTCTCTGTGCAACAACATAGCCATATATAGGATCAATAATATTTGGGCTTTCATATCCAGCCCGTGTTCACTGCTACAGAGAATCATAGTGTTTAGCCATATGTTCGATTCATGCAAAACATTGTACAAATTTGAATAATAAACTCTGCTCAGAACTGGGCTTGATTTCCATCACCATCTCGAATCTTGAGTAATAAACTAACTTACCAGAACTTTCCATCTTCAGAAAATCTTACTATCACCCATCTTTCTAAAGGAAATCAATTTTAGCAATACTGCATTTTTCACATTAGCAGCACTATTATTTAGTTTCCCAGGGCAGTTTCCTTTTCAAATGATTTTTTTTTCTGGCCTTCTT